CTCTCGCACTCACTCTCTCGCTCTCACTCTCTCGCTCTCACACTCACTCTCTCGCTCTCACTCTCTCGCTCTCACACTCACTCTCTCGCTCACACACTCACTCTCTCTCTCACACACTCACTCTCTCGCTCTCACACTCACTCTCTCACACTCACGCTCACACTCTCTCTCTCACTCACGCTCACACTCTCTCTCTCACTCTCGCTCACACTCTCTCACACTCTCGCTCACACTCTCTCGCTCTCGCTCTCACACTCTCGCTCTCGCTCTCACACTCACTCTCTCGCTCTCACACTCACTCTCTCGCTCTCACACTCACACTCACACTCACACTCACTCTCACACTCTCTCACACTCTCTCTCGCTCTCACACTCACTCTCTCGCTCTCACACTCACTCTCTCGCTCTCACACTCACACTCACACTCACACTCACTCTCTCACACTCACACTCACTCTCGCTCTCTCACACTCGCTCTCACACTCGCTCTCACACACTCGCTCTCACACACTCGCTCTCACACTCGCTCTCACACTCGCTCTCACACTCGCTCTCACACTCGCTCTCACACTCGCTCTCACACTCGCTCTCACACTCGCTCTCACACTCGCTCTCACACTCGCTCTCACACTCGCTCTCACACTCGCTCTCACACTCGCTCTCACACTCGCTCTCACACTCGCTCTCACACTCGCTCTCACACTCGCTCTCACACTCGCTCTCACACTCGCTCTCACACTCGCTCTCACACTCGCTCTCACACTCGCTCTCACACTCGCTCTCACACTCGCTCTCACACTCGCTCTCACACTCGCTCTCACACTCGCTCTCACACTCGCTCTCACACTCGCTCTCACACTCGCTCTCACACTCGCTCTCACACTCGCTCTCACACTCGCTCTCACACTCGCTCTCACACTCGCTCTCACACTCGCTCTCACACTCGCTCTCACACTCGCTCTCACACTCGCTCTCACACTCGCTCTCACACTCGCTCTCACACTCGCTCTCACACTCGCTCTCACACTCGCTCTCACACTCGCTCTCACACTCGCTCTCACACTCGCTCTCACACTCGCTCTCACACTCGCTCTCACACTCGCTCTCACACTCGCTCTCACACTCGCTCTCACACTCGCTCTCACACTCGCTCTCACACTCGCTCTCACACTCGCTCTCACACTCGCTCTCACACTCGCTCTCACACTCGCTCTCACACTCGCTCTCACACTCGCTCTCACACTCGCTCTCACACTCGCTCTCACACTCGCTCTCACACTCGCTCTCACACACTCGCTCTCACACACTCTCTCTCACACACACTCTCTCTCTCACACACACACTCTCTCTCACACACACGCTCAGGTACTCACGGCGCGCACGTGGCCACACAGCATCAGACCCACATTCTTGGTGAAGGCGTGCACCAGATGAAGAAGAGCTGGACGAGAGTTTGGAGCTCCGGTCATCACCAGACACTGTGGCCTAGAGGAGACGACACCGTCAGAGCATCCCACACCACATTCTCATGACCTCCAGGGTCAGCGGTCCAGTCCAGAGCACTGCTCCAGCTCAGATTAGACAGCTTCAAAGCAAAAACGTTAAGAATAAAAGCGGATTATGCAGAGGGCGAAGCGTGCTGTCAGAAACGCAGAAATCAGCGCTTGCTCTGCTCTCAACATGAGATTCATCAGTCTCACGACAGAAGACCTCACACTGAAGATCAAAGTCCTCACAGTAAATCCACAGCACTAATAATCAAGCTGTTCTCTTTACCCTCATTCAATTCCATTCCGATGATTTATGCATTGTCTTCATTTTGCAAATTTTGACTACATACAAAACCCTGACAAAAACACTTCTTGTATTACAATCAATGGCAAAGATTTTCAAGATGATCATTCAAAGTTTTGGAGAAAAACTAATACTTTTATTCATCAAGCATGCATTAAACTGATCAAAAGTGATGGCAAAGACATTTATACTGTTTAAAAAGATTTCTATTTCAAATAAATGCTGTTCTTTTGAACTTCCTATTCATCTGTGAATCCTGAAAAATAAAATGTATCGCACACAATCATGCAAAAAATAAATAAATAAAAATCAGCACAACTGATATTTTACAGTGTTAAATATCAGTTCTTTTAAAGGGTTAGTTCACCCAAAAATGAAAATCAGCCTGTGTTTTACTCACCCTTGAAGCATTCTAGGTGTATGTGACTTTCTTCTTTCTTCAGACGAATCCAGTCGGAGTTATATTAAAAATGGTCCTGGCTCTTCCTAGCGTTAGAATGAGTCCAAGAGTTCCAAAAGACGTCAAATAAAGCATGCGCATTCATAATAAAATGTGCCTCACACGGCTCTCGGGGGTGAATAAAGGCCTCCTGTAGCGAATCCATGCGCTTGTGTAAGAAAAATATCCATATTTCAAACATTATAATCGCTTTTTCTCACTTCTGGTATCTGTCATAAGCGGAAGGCGTTCCGGTGGATGACGCAGCACGTATGCGCAGCGTAAGCGCCTCTGAGATATACTGGTCTCGTGAGTTTGTTTACAGAAGCAAAGGAAGCAAAGTTTCCTTACTTTAACAGGAAAACCAGTCTCCTCTTGGCTTGTATCGAACTCCTCCGACATTCTTCTTTACAAATCCTTGGTTTGCATACGACAGTTAGCAGAAGTGAGAGAAAAGTATTTATAACATTTTAAATATGGATATTTTTCTTATGAAAACGCATGGAATCGCTACAGGAGGCCTTTATTCACCCCCCAGAGCCATGTGAGGCATGGTTTATTATGGATGTGTGTGCTTTATTTGACTTCTTTTGGACTGTTGAACAAAAACACCCACCTACTCTCATTCTAACGCTTGGAAGAGCCAGGACCATTTTTCATATAACTCTGATTGGATTTCTCTGAAAGAAGGAAGTCATCTACACCTAGGATGCCCTTCACACACTCATACGCACGTTTAACATCATTTACTATTTTTTTTTTTTCCCTCATAGGGACCGCAGGCCGGACCCACAATGTCAAAAATTTCAGGTTTTACTATCCTTGTGGAGACATTTGATCACATACACCCACTCACACACACTAGTGTTGCACGATATACCGGCACTAAAAAAGTATCGCGATACCCTGCTTTTAAAAACGGTACGATTCCGCATTTTACTAGTACCGGTAATTTAAGAATGCATTTTAACAAGATCCATATTTCCTGAGTAAAACACTGGGATGAATAGATTAAAAGTAGCCTAGGTCAGTACACGTAAATCAAAGCACGATGGACTAGTGTCTGTGAACATTAAGCTGTAAAATACTAACACAGACGCGCGGATTCGTCTACTACACATGAAGCACGCATGACGCTCACGGTGTTTTCAGCCTCTGCCGCCTCAATACATGAACATGACCTCTAGAACTGCTCTGAGAGTCACTTCATGAGCATTTCTCACACTCTCTCACACTCACTCTCTCACACTCACACTCACTCTCTCTCTCACACGCTCTCACGCTCTCTCGCTCTCTCGCTCTCACGCTCTCACGCTCTCACGCTCTCACGCTCTCACGCTCTCACTCACACTCTCGCTCTCGCTTGGAAGAGCCAGGACCATTTTTCATATAACTCTGATTGGATTTCTCTGAAAGAAGGAAGTCATCTACACCTAGGATGCCCTTCACACACTCATACGCACGTTTAACATCATTTACTATTTTTTTTTTTTCCCTCATAGGGACCGCAGGCCGGACCCACAATGTCAAAAATTTCAGGTTTTACTATCCTTGTGGAGACATTTGATCACATACACCCACTCACACACACTAGTGTTGCACGATATACCGGCACTAAAAAAGTATCGCGATACCCTGCTTTTAAAAACGGTACGATTCCGCATTTTACTAGTACCGGTAATTTAAGAATGCATTTTAACAAGATCCATATTTCCTGAGTAAAACACTGGGATGAATAGATTAAAAGTAGCCTAGGTCAGTACACGTAAATCAAAGCACGATGGACTAGTGTCTGTGAACATTAAGCTGTAAAATACTAACACAGACGCGCGGATTCGTCTACTACACATGAAGCACGCATGACGCTCACGGTGTTTTCAGCCTCTGCCGCCTCAATACATGAACATGACCTCTAGAACTGCTCTGAGAGTCACTTCATGAGCATTTCTACAGTTTCTTTTCATCATATACAAACAAACTAAAAGCTCTTCGCAGCAACCTATCAAAATAAAAGTTTAACTTGACAGAAATATATTACTTCATGTAATGATAGTACTACTACTACTAATAACAATATTATTAATACAATATTTAAGGAATATTTACCAGAAAAATTATTTACCAGAAAATTGTAAATACACAACACAGTATTTCTGAAAAAAGAAATAAATAGACCATAATAAATTCTTTATAAAACCTAATTATCCTTTATAAATTAATTAGATAGGCTTTTGATTATTAAAATGTAATGAAACTATTCAAATGGAATCCAGAAAATTAATGGAAAACACAGATTCACAGAAAAATAAAACTTAATTTGAGAAAAATAATAAAACGTATTTCATAGGGCCGTAAAAATGTAATTTTTGTTAAACTTTTAATAAATTGCTGTTAAACTGTGCAATTAATTAGACATGCTTTTTGATTAATATTTTTAATGTAACCATTAAAATAGAATCTAGAAAAATTCAAGAAATGAAACAGATTTCAAAGGGCCCTATTTATTTCATTTGTGTCTGTTTTATTGTATGTGTCCTTTAGTTTGTTACTTGCAAAAATAACTATATCATGATATACAAGTTATGTTGTTGTGAAATAAAATGACTATATAATGAAAAAGATTTGGCTTTATCCTTCTAGCTAACTTACAAATGTAGCAAAGCTCTCTACACACCTGTAGGCACACCATAGTCCTGTGTAGTGACACTGGCATGTGATTATTAGTATATTTTTTTGAAGGGGGATGAAATGCTTTTTTTTAATAGATAAAATAACTGATCTCCACTTGGATAATCTATTACTCAATGACTGTTCCTGTTGCTCTATGTTTTTGTCGTAGTATCGTGATGTTTTAGTCAGGTATCGTATCGAAGCCAATTCTGGTATCGTGACTTCACTCACTCTCTCACGCACGCACGCACTCACTCTCATTCACACACACCAACACACACACACACACACTCACCCTCTCACACACACACAGACACTCACACTCACACCCACACCCACACCCACACCCACACCCACACCCACACCCACACACACCCTCACCCTCACCCTCACCCTCACCCTCACCCACACCCTCACCCTCACCCTCACCCACACCCACACACCCACACACCCACACACCCACACACACC